TCGGTGCCTGGACCTCATGCCTTCCTCCTGGTGATCCGACTTGGAGTCAGGTTCACAGAGGAGGAAAGGAACGCTGTGAGGTGGATCCAGGAAAACTTTGGAGATGATGCATCCATGTACACTATCATGTTGTTTACATGCAAGGATCAAGGTAAAGCAGACAATGCCCTGAAAGAGTGCAAGGAGCTCCGGAGACTCTCAATTACATTTGGTCGCAGGTACCATGCCTTCAACAACAATGACGCAGATGACCGTCTGCAGGTCACAGAGCTTATCAACATGATCAAGGAAATGGTACAAGACAATGGAGGGAAACACTACACAAACGAGATGTATGAGAAAGCCCAGAGGATGCTAAGAGAGGAGGAGGAGCGGAGGAGACAGGAAGAGCAAGAGAAAAAGAAAGAAGAAAGGAAGGTCTGGGATGAGGAGAGGGAGAAACAGCAAAAAGAACGAGAGAAGAAGAAACAAGTTCGGAAGAAGAACATCCGTGTGGCCTCAGCTGTTGCTGTTCTGTTGGTTTTAGCTGGGGTAGTTATTGCAGTAGCAGCAAACACCACTGTGGCTCTGGCTCTGGGAGCTCCAACACTTCTCTTGGGGATTTTATGTGGTTTGACAGCAGTTGTCTTGTGGAAAGGAATAAAATGTAATGCTAAAAAGAACAGTCCAGTGTAATAAGCATAATGTGAATGTCATCTCTGACAGCAAAATTAGCTAATATTGATATATATTTTCCAACCTTTTCTGGTGTTCAGATTTTTTAGTGGAACAAAGTCAAACTAGATTACAAAAACATTTAAATTAGCAAACACCCTTTTTTCCCAAAACTGTTGAATTTAATTTTTAAATTAACTTCACAGACTAAAATAAACCTCTTCAATGTACAACGCTGAAAAATGACCCACAGCTAGATTATTTTTGACCTTGCAACAAGTCTGAAATTATCTGTATCACTGAAATATTTTCTGTCATACAAAATATTTTACTTTTAAAAATGTGAAAATCAATGATGTCTGTGATAAAGCATTGCCTCTGATTTTACAATATTTTGAATAAAATCAGAAAAGAAAAGAACTACATAACAACGAAGTAATGGTATTAATTGAAAGTGCTTGGGTTGGACTGAATGTTTTCTCATTGTCATTTGTTTTCTCACAATTAAAAAAAGTCTGTCTTACTTGTTGAACAGTTCAATAGTAAAAAAAAATATTCGAACATATGTGATGTAGATAATTAGTCCCTTAATTTAAACATTCATATCCTTAGAGAAAAAACGCTCAACAAAATTCCTACACAGCTGATCCTTTGCTTCTTATTCAAATTATGACCTACCACTGTTTCCTGTCCTGTATTTATAGTCACATTGGTTGAAAGGAATTGTTAAATAAACAATGGGTAAAAACTCCACCCACTCCTCATTTTGTAAATATTACTAATAATCGCACCGCTGCTTAGGTATTCAAAATAGTTCTAGAGAAACTATTTACTCTTTGTTTTATTTCAGCTTGAAACAAAAATATGTTTTCTGAAAATATAATCTCCAGCTTTTCTTTTCTGTAGCTACGTATTTTATGGAGTTCTTTTGTCTTTTTGTAACATTTAATACAAACTTCGTTGAAGAATTTTATCCCTGCCCATCAGCACAGCCCTAAACCACGAACCAAGAGAGGCACTGTTAAACTTGAAATCACCTGTGTTGGTTTGTTTCCTTCCTTTGGCCTCCTCCACATTTACTAGCTTGTCTCCTCGTAGTGCCTCTCCAGCCTCTGGACGCTACGCTGACAGAAAGTAAACCGCATTGATGTGCCCTCCTGCATGAGCTGCACTGCCTGAGCCACTTGTGAGGGTGGTAGAGTGCTACGACTGTGAAAGCACCACCAGCATCCAAGAGTGACCAAAGCATCAGACAGAAAGCATAGGTACTGAGAAGTGGTCTGTGATCCCCACCTGCAGAACTTTGAAGACTTAAGACCTTGATGCTGTGTAAAGAACAGAGCTTGGATTAATAACACAATAGATTTATGGCAGACTTTCCTCCGTTTCCTGGACATTGGTGGAGGGAAGTCAGAGAAAAGAGGGATCTTGAGTGTAACTGTCTGTGAGGCAGACAGTGGGGTGGATAAGGGTTCTTCTAGTGAGCAGAAAGGAGGCTTGGTTCGAAGTTTAATGAAGAGAGTCTTGGATGATGATTAGATTCATAGGGGTTGCTGTCCATCATTGATTGACTGGGGCTTGGGGGAGATGCGTCAGCAGGTGAGGCTGATAAAGAGTCTTCCAGGTTGAATATTTGCTCAAGTTTCATTTGCGCTTTTCGATTAATATACGAGTCAGACACGTGCAATTGGTATAGTTTAAGGAAATTTAATAGTACCTTTTAGTCAAAGTGTGCATAGGGAGCTTGTTCATAACAGTAGGTTACAGTTGTATCCTGAATAATTTTACCATCCTTACTTAATTTTAAGATAATTTTTGGACTATCTTCGATTTGCAAGACTATAAAAGTAAGATTAGTTTTTTTCCTTGTTCAATCCATTTTGCTTTGGATCTTACAAATACACCTTTTTTTTGCAGTTAGATGTCATCTAACTATTTATGAAGAGTACTTAATCCCTGTGTTTCCTCAATTTTTAAATTTACTTTTCTGCACAATATACAAATTTTTTCAACAAAGTATTTCTGTAAGTTTACACGAGTTTGCTGTTTTCTTTCTTTCTATACCTTTTTGTATTACCCAATGGTGTAACGACACAACAATAGGCCCGTAAGCAACATTATCTGTGTGGGCCTCATATGAAGTACAACACCCCCCCACAATTGCACAGGGGGCCAACCAGGTGTCAGTGATGGGGCCCCTAAACTATATCTGACAAATCCATGTGATTGGTTACCGAGCATATTAATTTTACCTGGCTGCAAATGTGCCATTGAGTGAAATTTTCAAATAATATTTGATTTCTGATTATTTTTTATGATTGCCACTGACAAATCAATAAGACAATGATCGTGGAGAGTTGATGTTAGAATATCACTCTTCCGGTTCAAATTGTTCACATTCTGAGAAAAAAGCCAGTAGTCTAACCTTGAACATGGGTTTATATAGGCTGGGCTGAACCATGTAAACTTTTTTGTGTTGGGGTTTTTGATTCAACAATAGTCCACATGGTTATTTAAACAAAAATTGTAAATAGTGTCCTCATAGTCTGGTTGTGGAACTTTGGGTTAATTAAAGTCCCCTCCTATTATTACATTGCCTGTTATATACATTACTCTCTATTCCCTACTATACTGTGAGAATTTGGCAAACATATCTTTATTCAGAGATCTGTTGTTTCAGATCAAATACCTCTACAACAACCGTAAGCCAGTGACCATTATCATCCTTTTTTTAAATTTTTTTACGGCACTAGTGGCTAATTTTTTTGACAGTAGACTGACAGGAAAGGTGGTATGAGAGAGGCGGATAAACACAGGTTGGATCCGAACCCAGGTTAGCCACGTCCAGGGCCAAGGCCTCCGTACATGGGTCATGCTCGCCAACCACTGTTCACGTCCACCATTATCATCATTTTTTTTAAATCAATATTTTCCCTGAATACCTGTGAAACATAATCATCACTCCCGTTGAGTGAGAGGTTCCATGTGAAAACAAAATAGTTTTTCCCCATTGTTTTTCCTAAAATATTTTGTTGTGCTTGCTAGAATGAGTCTTTTGTAGCAAAATAAAATTAGCTTTGACCATCTTACAATATAAAGCACAAACATTTCAAGAGCAAAAATGAACAAATATATGAATGTGCTTCTAAAAGAGCATAATGGAAATGGATGTGCATTTCCTTGTATACTCCCTAATTATCTCTTCCCTTGTGGATCGCATGCTGAATTGTATGATGATTGGTCGTGGTCTTATGTTGAAAGCAGGGTCATATTTCTTTCCCAGCAAATGTACTGTGTCCACCCTCTTGCAGAGTTTTTCAGCTGACACCGTAACTGTTGTAAGGATACCAATCACCATGTTTTTGTATCCTCTTTCTCTGTCAGCCTGAGAAGTTTCAGATTCCTTTGTCTTAGATACCACTCCACTTCCGGGTTTATTTGTCAGAATTTCAACTCATTTCTTGAGTGTGTTAATTTCCTCTTTGTTTTCCTTCATCGTCTTTTTATTGGTTTGGATGCATGCTTCAAAGTTGTCAAACTTCCTTTCCAACATGTCAAGCCTTTTCCTGAAATCTTTGTGACAGAGCTTGGATAGCATCATAGAGGCTTACCATACTGACTTGTTTAGTTTCACCTTGCTTCTTCATTTCCCCTCTGCATTTCCATTTTTTTCTTATTCGACTAGTTAATCAAAACAAACCTCACTTAAATCTGTCATACTGAAGGCTAATCCTGTCGTGTTAGCTGCACTGCAAAAACCATCTAGAAATAAGTAAAAATTGCTTAAATTAAGCATATTTACCCTTAATTTGAGCAGGTAAATAAGATGATCTGCCAATGGAATGAGTGTTTTTACTCCGAAAACAAGATAATTAGATAATATGCACTCGAAATAAGACAAAGCAATATTTTTTTTTTCTTATTTTAAATGTAAATTGTCTTGTTCCATTGGCAAAGTGTCTCACTGCACTTATCTAATCTGAGAAAAAATTACTTATTTAAGCTGGATGTTACTTTAGCATATTATGTTGGACCTGCAGTTGTCATGTGCGCTCACTCCGCCATCTTGCTTCAGCAATGTCCTATGTGCTGTATGTGAATTTTGGCAATATATCTTTTCTCCCATCTCAGGTGTTCTACATTTCTACAGACTTTGCAACAAGACAATGCTGCAGTATTTTTCTTGATGTCAAACCTTTGATCTCTCCATGACTTCATGGATTGAAAAGTGAACAACGAAAACAATATCAGCCTTAGCCCTTTATTTGATTTATTATTAATTTTCAGTTAAATAGACAAATATAGAAATGCTTTACCAACAAATCCATACATAATTCATACATAATTTAAATGAGTGATAATGAATTTAAAAGATTCTTAATCTTTTTTGATTATGATTAGAATAAAAGTAAAATTTTGTCAAAAAGAAGACAACACATTAAAATCATTGTTATTTTTTTTAGAATACAAAGAAAATGTGCATGGCAGTCACTTTTTAGCAGTGTCAAACTCAGCCACTAGGTAAGACTACAAACAGGTCATCTTCTACTACAAACAGGTCATCTTCTGATAAACCATCCAACATTTCTCATAATCATTTCACCTCCTAGAGCGGCCATGTTTGCCACTGACAAACCTGCAGTTTCCCCTGCCATCATTGCACCACCAACTGAAAATGCAGCTGCTCCTCCTGCTGCCCACATTAAGCGACTTCCTGCATTTCCCGCTTGTTGTCGAAGCCAACACCGCCATAGTTTCTTCTGAGCCTCATTGTACATGTCAATGGTATAATGATCTCCATTCAATTGTATCACCTTGTCTATAGTCTCAAATAGATCATTCACCTGAGTGCGATTTTCAATGTTTTTGTTCTCAAACACAACATATTTACCATTACATTCATTAGTGAGCTTCTTCATATCCTCACTTTTCTGCAAATATATCTCAATGGTGTCTTTGAGCTCGTCACCCCTGGTGAAAACAACAACTGTGTACTTTAAGACTTCCTCACCAAAGTTTTCTGTTATCCACTTGATTGTATTCTTCTCCTCCTCTGTAAAGCGTACAGCGAGACTGATGACAAGCAAGAATATATGTGGTCCAGGAAGAGACAGCATGATACATTTCTCTATTTCTTTTTTCAAGTCTTCCTCAGGGAGCTTTGTGTCAAACATCCCCGGAGTATCAATGATTGTCACTTTTCTGTCATTCAGGTGATGAGTTGCTTTTTTGCATTCCTTAGTCACAGACGAAGGAGACGAGTCGTCAATAAAAGCCTTCTTTCCCAGGATGGTGTTCCCTGTCGCACTTTTGCCCGATCCAGTTTTTCCCAGGAGGACAATTCTTACATCTTTGAAAGAACCAGAAAAAATGTGTTAAAGAGTTAAAGAGTGGTTTAGATCCAGGAAGCTACGTATAACTAAGGACTGACAAAAACATGAATAAGTCTCCTTAGGAACAAAAACATACTAACCTTTAGCCGAGTCTGAATCCATGTTGGAAAAGATATTATAGAAAACCTAGATAAATAAAATCTGGCTCAACTCTACTTTAACTGCAAAAAAAGGTCTTGCTCTTGGCTCCAGCTTCGTGTTGTTTATACCCTAAATTCTTATTCCTCCACCACAACAGTAGTCCCTCCCTTTTTCCTCCTTAGTTAAGCTAAACACTCTTCCAGTGAAATGAAACTGTCCTGTGTTTTAACCCAGCCTGTTTCATGAAAAATGAAACTCAGAGAATAGCAGCTAAGATAATGGAAAGCATGTAACACACACTTATGGGAAACATATGGCATTTAATATAATTTGATTGACTAGTTTTTATTTAGCTCCACATTTATAGTGTTGGAATTATTCATTGTCATTTATGTATAAGCTTGTTGAAACCCATATGTTACCAATCTGTTTACTATATTAATTAAATAACTAAATAAATAAAAAACTAAATAATTTTCCTACACTTGGTGTAACATCATAAAATATAGGAGCGAATAAAGGGGAGTGGCGGCCTGGTTAGGGCATGGTGCTTGCAATCCTGAGGTTCTGAGTGCGAGCCCACGATGGCAGCTACTGTAATTACATAGGGTGACCAAACGTCCGTATTTCCCGGGACATATCCGTATTTCACGTCCTGTCCCGGGCGTCCCATGTCCCGGGCGTCCCGGGTTTTTTTTTTAGAAAAAAACAAAAAAACATTGTAT